AAAAAAAAAAAAAAAAAAAAAAAAAACCTGGGATAATCTAAGAGATGTGCGAGTCCAAAAAGCTGAGTGCCCATGTCGTGTGTGGAAGATAGACGCATTTCTCCAGCACATCATCATGTCAGTCAGACGCGCTTTGAGCCTTCGGCCCTGCCTCTTTGTAGGAGCTGTACAGCCAGACGTATGATGAGATTGGAGTCATGTTTGCCTCCCTGCCCAACTTTGCCGACTTCTACACAGAGGAGAGCATCAACAATGGTGGCATTGAGTGTCTCCGTTTCCTCAATGAGATCATCTCGGATTTTGACTCTGTGAGTGTCCATCCCACCCCGCACTCTGGCCATGAAGCTGGCCCATTCCACATCACATAGGCTGCACAAGCCAGGGAATCTGGAGTCACTCTAGAGTGGCTCTATTTTCCAGATAAGCCCCTTCTGCAGTATACGGATTTCCACAGCCACCCGGAACTGCTGGGCCGGGAAGGGGGAGGTGAGGTGGGAGCCTGGGACATCACCCACAGGGTCACAGGGGATGAAGTCTGGCCAAGAAACATCCTGACACCCCTTTCTTCCTCTCCCCTCAAATTCAGAGCTGGTCAGCATTGATTGGGTAACCTGTATACCAGGGAGAATGCTTTTACACACATGCTTAGCCGCCCTAGGACACTGGCAATTTTATGTCAATGTTGAGGTTGTGGAAAGTGAGGCCCAGAAAAGTCAGTAAGTTTTCCCAGGATCATGTGGCATGTAAGTGGTAGAATAAGTAAAAACTTTGAAAGGAAGGCATCTCTTGGGTTTTGCAGGGTCCTTGTCAACAGGCACGTGTGTCACTGGGTTGGCTCATTCATCTCTCTTGACTCTGCTGACAATTCTTTCCTGAATCCTGGCCTCAGCTCCTGGACAATCCCAAATTCCGGGTGATCACCAAGATCAAAACCATTGGCAGCACGTATATGGCAGCCTCAGGAGTCACCCCCGACGTCAACACCAATGGCTACACCAGCTCCAACAAGGTAGGTAACCTCAGTGGCCAGAGAGGAGACGAGGCTCTGCCCCCAGGCCAGAGATTGGCAGCCCAGACCCAGCATGCGGCAAACAAGCACTGTGGTACAAAGGGGTCCCAGACACACACCAGGAGCACCATGTAAACAAATAAGAAACAGGGTTTATTGAGAAGGTTTGACAAGCAGAGAAACAGAACAGACATAAAACCCCCTGCTGTTCACAGCTCAGGCCTAAGATGGTTGTGTTCTGTGGCCAGACCCCCTAAGGCTCTGTGCTTTCATAGGAACTGGGGACAGAACCATCTATGCAATCATGTAACAATGGAGACTTTCAGAGTGGCCGTCAGAACTTTTGTTAAGCTAATTTAGACCTGTATTCAGCCCAGGATAGAAAACACGGTGAAGGGGCCCTGGTCCCAAGCTTTGGACTTAAAACAGCATCAACCTGTTTTACCTCTGTGACCATCCCATGGCCCTCTGTATTGTAGGGATGAGGTTAAAGAAACATATCCAAGGCCCAGCATGATGGCTTACACCTGTAATCTCAGCACTTTGGGAGGCTGAGGTGGGTGGATCACGAGGTCAGGAGATTGAGACCATCATGGGTAACACGGTGAAACCCCGTCTCTACAAAAAATACAAAAAAAAAAAAAATTAACCAGGCGTGGTGGCACGTCCCTGTAGTCCCAGCTACTCAGGAGGCTGAGACAGGAGAATCGCTTGAACCCAGGAGGCGGAGGTTGCAATGAGCCAAGATTGTGCCACTGGACTCCAGCCTGGACAACAGTGAGACTGTGTCTCAAAAAAAAAAAAAAAAAAAAACCATGTCCAAGGCGGGCCATCCCCCTCCAGTGCTTATCACCTAGTTGAAGGATCCAAACAAGGACAACTTGACAAACCTAAGGGCCAGGGCCAGCCAAGGTGAAGAGGCCCGTCTCGAAGTCAGACTCATGGGTCTGTCTTCTCTACCCTCATTGCCCAGCTGTTGCCTAGACCTGCTAGAGGGACACACGTGAGCTTCGTCACAGTGGCAAGCTAGAGCTGGGAAGGCTGCCGACTCCTTTGTGGAAGACAGGGAAATAGGCTGTGAACATCTAGGTATAGGGAACCCACCCCAGAACACTGCCAAGTAAGGCAACAGAGCAGGCTGCTGCAGTGCCTGTGCCCTGACACTTTCTCCACTGTCCCCTGGCACAGGAGGACAAGTCTGATCGAGAGCGCTGGCAGCACCTGGCTGACCTGGCTGACTTCGCACTGGCCATGAAGGATACGCTCACCAACATCAACAACCAGTCCTTCAACAACTTCATGCTGCGCATAGGTAAGCACTCCCGGCCGGCCAGCCCTGCGGCAGGCTCCCTTCCCACCAGCAGGAGAGACAGGAGGCGAGGATAACTGAGGCATTCGTGTAGGGAGGTTCACACACTCACAGGGCTAGGGAACCTGAAGGACCTTTAGTCCACACTCCTCTATATGACGAAACCAGAAACCTTTATGATGTAAGGGTCAGGCCATACCTGTAGCCTGGCCTACCTCACTGAGAAGTGAGTCTGTGATCCATTTCCAGAGGGGTTTCTGTGCCTGCAGAGGGCATGGCTTCCCAGACCAGCCTGCTCTTTGAAAGGAGTTAAGATCACCTGCTACTTCCCATTGAGGGGAGCTTCTCATTCCTGAACAAGGTCACAGGAGACTTGAAATACCCGGTGTGTCAGAAGCTGGCCACTACCATGCGGAGTAAATCTGCATATTGGGGGGCGGGTGGCAGCTGACACTTGCCAAGCACGTGGATGAACGGGAGGCGTGATTTCCACCCTCCAGTAGCACACAGCCAAGTTGAACAAGGACAATGATGTGTTACAAAATTAGGAGCTTTGTGGTACAGGTCTGATGACAAATTCTATAAGGGGAGTTGATGGCTTCTGAGGCTCAGGACAGGGTTTGGCCTGTGGTTGTGCTGACCTTTATGCCTCCACCCCAGGCATGAACAAAGGCGGGGTTCTGGCTGGGGTCATCGGAGCCCGGAAACCACACTACGACATCTGGGGCAATACAGTCAATGTGGCCAGCAGGATGGAATCCACGGGGGTCATGGGTAACATTCAGGTATGTCCAGCAGCAGAGCTGGGGCGTGCTCAGACTCAGGGCATGGGAACAAATGAGAACAGGGCTTCCCCATGCGCCCCTGCCTCCCATCCTGGGCCCTGAACAGTAAGTAAGTCCGCAGGCAGAGGCAAGGGGCGAGTGGGAAGGAGTTTCTGCCGTAGCTAGCCTTAGCACAGGGGCAAACGATTCCACCCATCCACAAAATCTGGGTTGAAGTTCTGGATGAGTCTAGTCTGCCTCTTGGTATGAATCTTCAGCCGTCCTGTGTCTGTGTCAATGGGGTCTGGCAGAAAAGCTCCACAAAAGGGGCAAAAGGGGACAGAAGAACAGAGAGTGAGTGTCCAGGCAACAGTGCTGCCACCCAGGCCCATGCCGTCCTAGGAGAGGGGCCTCCAGCCACTCACTCCAGTGCTCCGCTGCCCACTTGCTGCTCACCACAGGTGGAAGTCAGGGCTTGGCGCTGGGAGGGTGCTGAGGGCCATGTACTGCCTGGGACCCATGGATCACATGTGGGCACCGTGTGGATCAGTGCTCGGCTCCTCCTGTGCCACCATGTTCTTGCTCTCCCTCCTCCCCAGGTGGTAGAAGAAACCCAAGTTATCCTCCGAGAGTACGGCTTCCGCTTTGTCAGGCGAGGCCCCATCTTTGTGAAGGGGAAGGGGGAGCTGCTGACCTTCTTCTTGAAGGGGCGGGAGAAGCCCGCCGCCTTCCCCAACGGCCCCCCCGTCACGCTGCCCCACCAGGTGGAGGACAGCTCCTGAATGCCTCTAGCCTGCGACAGCCCAGACTGGGAGGGAGAATTTATCTTTTGGAACTGAAGAAAGGCCTTGGGAGAGGACACATGACCAAGTCCCGACCTTCCCGGATTGAAGTGCACTCACCGACTTTAGGTTTAGAATCTCCTCAGCCTTTGTGCGTTCGTGGACGTGGGAGCTCTGAGGGTGGCCCTGCTCTTCCTCAGTGTGCCTGTAGCGTCCCCAGTGTAGGGGTCTTAGGTGTAGGGCTGAACAGTCCTTCCAGAGCCTAGTTCCGATCCCTGCCCTCCATGACCCTGAGGGGCCCTGGCCACTGTGAGCAGGAGGGTGGCAAAGCTGGGACGATGCTGCCTTTGCCGCAGGGCTGACCAGGACTGTGGACGGAGCACAGGCAGAGAAGCTCTGTTTCAGACGGGCTTGGGGCGGCGGGACACGGCTGGAAACGTTTTGCTCCCATTCTGAAGGGAGCTCAGGCTGGAGACCGGTTATCTCCACATGGTCCGAGTTCACTGAGACGGCCCTCGTCCTGATGTTCCTGGTAATCTTGAAAGGTTCTTCTGGAACCGGTCTCCTTAGTCATGAGAGCAGAAAGTGCAATATTTCCTTTCACCTGGCGGGGGGGGGAGGGATTTATTTCTGAAAGAAAAATATATAAACAGATCTTCTACATTTATATTTTTAATCTTCTGTTCAATACACTTTCCGATATTGCCTTGCCTTTGAGCTCTTGCTACAGTCGCCTTTGCTACTGCTTTAAGAGAGAATTTGACAAAGAATAAGACTTTTATTAAAAGCTTTATTCAACTTGAAAGTGGCTGTGGAAATTCTGTTAATACCACTTACCAGAGGAGTGCTGATACCTTGCTGACTCATGCCACTGGGCCCCACCACAGGCCTGAAGGGCAAAAGCTTGAAGGTCTCACTATAGCCCACTGTACCCCAGAACTGCTGCCCAGTCCCGTCTCTATTTTATTCTGTTTCTAAAGGGTAGTCCAAGCCAGCTTTAGTACCCTGCACTGCTCCCAGAGTTCGCTGGAGCGCTCCCACATGGAGGTTACTTAATGACCACAAGGTCTAGGAAGTGGCCACTGCAGGGCGAAGTCTGAACGTGGCCCTGGGCCCTGGACAGTCATGACTCCTATCTATGCCCGGGCAAAGGCAAGCTAGGGATGCAAACACGAGAACCAGGTCAGCCAGACACAGGTTTTCACATCTGTGACCCCACATGCCAAGGAACCAGAGGTGCCAGAAGGTGAGAGGCCCACGGTTACGGGTAAATCGGAACACTAACCGGAGAGCCTGCAGGAGAGGGAAGACCTGGGGACACCCGCTTTCCTTCACGACAACACTGAGTTTATGGGCAGATTTCTAACCGTGCTTTTTCCGAGGGGACTTACTTAGTACATTCAGAGCTCTACAATCTGTTTTAGGAAACAAAATCTTAAGACACATTGGACCCTGATTATTTTATCTCCACTGCTTTCTCACACATATGCTTCATAAAGCAGTGGCCTAGAACGTGCTGTTCCTGACCAAACACTGAAGAACTTCCTTTTCAAAAGTTTCAAACAGGAAAATGAGAAAGAATTACTAAAAGCTTCCATTAAAGCTAGAAGTACTTTCCTTTAAAAAAAAAAATGGTATTGGGTCTTTATTATCTTCATTAGTGAATGTGGGTTATTTTTCCACGTATTTAGATCAGTGTTTCTCAGCAGAATCAAGCTACTGCAGTTTGAGTGGAGTGCTACATTTCTGTGAGGGCCCTTTCTGAGAATTTTAGGATTTTTGGCATCTCTATTCCTGGCATTAAATTAGTTGCAGTTGTTGTGACAACTGCCTTGTCTTTCCCAGAACTTAATGCCCTCAGTAACTTGATATTTTTCCACAGATATTTTCTTCATAAGTACTTCTTGAGTGATACACCTTTTACAAAAAATGGCTTTTATTGCCCCACAGATGTTTCTGATTTTCAGCTAACATGTATGATAATACCTTGAAAAAACATGATCTTGAGCATTTTAAGTGACCAGGCAATCATGGGAATTGTTCCAAAACGCCAGTGTCTATACTCAAACCTGCTCTTCCATCCTGATGAAAAGGTAGGCATCTGTTTTCATCAGGTGGGTGGGCCCCACCTGCCTGGTACTGTCTTCAGTTCTGGTTACTTACTTCTGATGTTTTCCCAGTGCCGTGAAAACAGTCTGTTAGGAGACCAGACTCATATCCAACTTTTCTCCTTTTCTTGCAAATGAAGCGAACACTTGATGCAGGGGCTTCATACAGAACAGAGTTTCATGGGATGCTCGCTGCTCCTCCCATGAAGTGGATAATGCGTCCACTCCTAAAAAGAAAGATTCCATCAATCTCATCCAGTGCAACTGGGGGAATCAGAGCCTGGATCGCTGATATTCTGGACCCATACAGCTTTTTTTTTTTTTTTTGGTCTGGACTAAGGCTGCCCCTCATTGGACAATCTTGAGACTGGAGACTTCAATCAGACTGCTCAGAGAAGTCAAAGACTGATGGTGTGAAATCTGGGGCAGCTTCAAAATTTCTGCCTCCTAAAAACATTTTACCCAGCCAGGTGCAGTGGCTCCTGCCTGTAATCCTAGCACTCTGGGAGGCTGAGGTGGGCGGACTGCTTGAGCTCAGGAGTTTGAGACCAGCCTGGGCAGCACAGTGAAACCCCATCTCCAATAAAAAATACAAAAAATTAGCTGGGTGTGGCGGCATGTGCACCTGTAGTCCCAGCTACTCTGGAGGCTGAGGCAGGAGAATCACTTGAACCCGGGAGGCAGAGGTTCCAGTGAGCCAAGATCGGGCCACTGCACTCCAGCCTGGGCGAAAGAGCAAGACACCTTCTCAAAACATTTTACCAATTTTTCGTTATTGCCCATGTCATTTAACTGAAACAGGTTCACCAAAAAGTGTCTCTCTCAGCCAGTCTGGAAGAATTTCCATTTAGAGACTGCTCCATAGGGAGGACTGTGTGTGTGCTGACGCATCATGTCCATTTGACTTCATAGTGAAATGAGTCTTTGGCTCCATTCACCATAACTGACCCATGACTCAGCCTTATCATTAGCTATCTTTCCTGAAGCAGAGCCCCCAGTGAAAACAAATCATAATCTGCAAGAACACTGGCAGTGTTGGGTGGGCAAAGGAGGAGGGAAAATGGGAATGATCATGTTTACCATTTACAAAGAGGAAGGAAAAGATTGGTAGAAATAAAGAATGTTCTATCTTTCCGGTCTGAGTAAATTCACAGTATATAAACAGAAGAAAATGTCTCACGAGGTCTACTTCATGGATTCTACCTGTTTCACTCGAATAAACTGGGATATGAGAATTTCTGAACTGAGGCAGCCTCCTTACCTTGATATGTCACAGTGACGTCGGTGGGAAGAGTTGCTGTGAGGTCCTTATACAGCAATCTAGCACAGAACGGGAAGGACTGACCGCCTGGATCCAGTTTGTAAGTAAATGACAGCAAGTTACACAGTGGGTTTCTCTGCAAGGGCCCAGTCAGGAGGGCTGCAAAGTCACTCTAGGGGTGAGGAACAAAATGAAGTAGAGGATGACTGCAGTTCCAGAGGTGGTGCTTACTGACACTTGAATTATGTCAACCAAAAAGAGGGGTCATCAATTACATTTTAGAGAAATAAATGAAGCACAGGAAAGGGTCTGAAAAAAGGGCTAATGGAAAAGATGTGTAAGATAACTAAGAGTCAGTGGCAGCCTGGAGAGGCCTATAGGGGTACAGCTCCGCAAGAGACTGTTTCTGCAAAAATTTCACTGGCTGAGGTGCTTCATGACTGCATCCACATTTCAGTTTCAGTTAAACCTACAACTGAGAGCTTCAGAGTTATTCCACATACACAGAGGGGGAAACATTAAGCTTGTAGGAGTCACTTAGAACCTATTAGCATTCACTTTCTATCTACTTTTTTCACCCAACCTTAGCTCAACTGCAACCCAAAAAGGTAGGCTAGAGTTGAGGGAAGAGGGACAGCATTCTTCCACGGCACTGCAGAAACCACTGTCCTCTTTCTAATAAGATCTATACCCAAGGTTCAGCAAGGCACTCGGTGTGGTACATAGCAGGCACCCCATAAATCCTTGCTGGATCAAAAGTATAACATCTGGACTCTACAATCTTACGAAAAAAGCTTGAAGACCACCATTCAGAGGTGCATAACCCTTTAACACTACCCAAGCTCAACATCATCCAGAGATTCAAAAGAAAAGAGGGTGGAATAGTGCTTCTGTATAAGAAACATCAGAAAGGCAATGGTCAAACTTCTCACTCAGAGTTACAAAACACTGAAAATACAGAAAACACCCCCCCTTTCCCTTTTTACATTTATCTTGGGCCCACAAATGAGGCATATAACATCCCAAAGAGATACCTGAAGTCGATCTGCCTGGTACTTCCTCCCAGAGTAAGCATTCAGGTACTCGCAGAGACTGAACAGGAAGTGCTGGATGTTGGTCTGTAAGTATTTTGCAGCGATCTCTTCTAGAGGAATGAAGACTGGGACTGAATGGTGATGTATCCGGAGTGGTTTCTGTATGACAAGGTCCACAAAATAGGAATCCAGCAGGTTCCCCTCAAAAGCAGTATTGATGCAGACACAGACTCCTCGGCTGGTCAGTTTACTACTGAGGCCTGAGGCAAAGAAGACGACACCTCAGCAGACGGCGGGCCGCGGTGACGTATTCCTCATCTGTGCCTCCAGTAGCTTCCACAGTGCCTAGAATATGTATACTTTGTGCACAAATGTTTGTTGAATGAGTATCATTGGCTCATTCTTCCCCTTGACTCCGGCTCACTTTGAGACTGAGTTGTTTAAAACCACGGAAGAATGGTAAAAATGAAAAAACATCCTAAATGTCAAATTACTAAGAAATTTTTCTTTTCTTTTTTTTTTTTTGAGAGAGGATCTCACTCTGTCACTCAGGCTGTAGTGCGGTGGCACGATCTCCGATCTCAGCTCACTGCAACCTCAACCTCCTGGGCTTAAGTGATCCTTCCATCTCAGCCTTTCAAATAGCTGGGACCACAAGCACATACCACGTCATCTGGCTCATTTTTAAATTTTTAGTAGAGATGAGGTCTTGCTATGTTTCCCAGGCGGGTCTCAAACTCCTGGACTCAAGCAATCCTCCTGCCTCAGCCTCCCAAAGTGATGGGATTATAGGCGTGAGTCACTGTGCCAAGCCAAAAATTTAAATTATAGCTATTCTTTTTTTTCCTGAGTGTGAAATAATTTGTCATAGTCCCCGGTTCTTTCCACAACTATCCTGTGGCATAGATGGGAGAATAAATCCCTATTTATGGAACAGACTTGGAAAGTTCAAACTATTTCACTAGTAGCATAAAACAAGCCAGTGGTAAAGGGAGTTCTAGCACGTGACAATCTGATAAAATGAATGGAATAAACCAGCCACCAGCTGAGCTGCGGTACAAAGGGGCCAGCCAATCTTGTAGGTGAAGATAGGCCTACAAATAGCATGTCAGCTGTGTGTGTGTGTGTGTGAGAGAGAGAGAGAGAGAGAGAGAGAGAGAGAGAAGAGGGCAGGAAGTATAAAATACCATAAATTATCATGAAATAAGGCCAGGACTGATAACACATCTAGCAAACTAACTCACTAGAGACAGACCCAGACTAAATTAGGTTAAAAAAAACCCCAACAAATTAAACCTGTAAAACGATACGCCTGCAGAACGGCTTTCACATTTTCCAGTTTCTCTTCCAACACTTCTTGCTCACTCATCTCCACTGCTAGGTTGGGTTCTACGTTGGCAATAGATGCTTTCACCTGCAAGATACGAAGCAAATCAATCTAGGTACAAAGGGGTACACCACAATGTCCCCGCCCTCACCGCACTGGATAAAAGCTCAATGCAGGGCATATGATGTAATACGTCAAGAAATGCTACTGTGGCCGGTCAGTTATTGCTGTGAATTCACAGCAAAGGAAGAATCTCATGGGTCACAATGCCAGGAATCAGAGGTAGAGATTGTGCTGGTCTGGAGAACAATTTAAATTTTGGCGAGAATGGAGAGGACTGAGAGAGTAGCAAGAAAAGGTTGTGCGGAAAGTCTAGGCTAAGCACAGGGTAGACAAAACAGGTGGCTGTGAAGAGGCAAGGCTGGGAAAGCTGGGCTTGTCAGACTGCAGGGTTTCAAGTGCCAGGGCTCCAAGATGGGTGCTGCTAGCTATGACCCAGCAGAGGGTACCAGGCTGACCCACCCTGAGAACGACTATGCAAGCTGGATAAAATACCAAAAAGAAATAAGCATAGAGAGCATTCCAGAAGGATCCAAAGAAGGACTGAAGGTTTCAAGGTGTTCCAGAAGGATCCAAATAGCCAGGACTGGAGAGTACTGACAAATGCTCCGAAGTCAGCTGGTATCCCAGCAGCTCAGAGCATTTCCTTATTCATATGCAAGGCACACTGGGCCACAGAGAAAGGCGTAAACTAGACTCTGCAGCCATTTCATTCAGAACAAACACTGGATATTAATGGTATCAAAGCACAATTTAAAGGGAACTCAACGTTCTGCTTGCAACCTGCCCACACCCCCCGCCCCGGCATTTGCTAATTCCTAAACTGCACAGGTGTGACCGGGGATCAAGAAACCAAACAGAATGAAGCTGCTAAAGGGGAAAAGGCCAAGCAGAGATTTTGCAAGAGCAAAATGTGGATTTCAGGGCCTGCCAGGAAAGAGGAGCCTTCATAGACCCATCCCAACACACTCCAAAACTTTCAATTGAGGGCCCTAAAAAAGCTACACCCTAGGAGTAAGGGCAAACTGGAAACAGACCACCACAACTGAATGAAAGTGATACGCCCATACACTACCTGCCAAAAAAAGACTATTTCCTTTGGAGGAAGATAACATATTCAAAACCCATATATTTGTCTTTTCTTTTTTGCAGGGACAGAGTTTTGCTCGTCATCCAGGCTGGAGTGCAATGGTGTGAAGTTGGCTCACTGCAACCTGCGCCTCCCAGGTTCAAGCAATCCTCCTACCTCAGCCTCCCAAGTAGCTGGAATTACAGGTGTGCACCACCATGCCTGGCTAATTTTTGTATTTTTAGTAGAGACAGGGGTTTCACCATGTTGGCTAGGCTGGTCTCGAACTCCTGACCTTGGATGATCTACCCACCTCAGCCTCCCAAAGTGCTGGGATTACATGCGTGAGCCACTGCGCCCGGGCTCTGTAAATTTTTTCATACACAATACTTATAAAAAAAATATATAGGCATACCAGAAAAGAGAAACAGATGACTGAAAACTGAGAGGAAAATGACAACAGAACAGATGCCAGGGTATTCAGCTATTCAAATGACGGCATGGTCATTAAAACAGGCTAAAAGATGGAAACTCAGACCAAAGAGCTGGAATCTATAAAAAAAGAACCAGATGGAAATCTTAGAACCAAAAAAAAGACAGTAACTCAAATTAGAATTTTAATAGATTTAAAAGCCAACTAGCCAAATAAGATCTTACATGGAGTGGAAAATAGGCATATTGGCATATTTTCATATCTAGATTAAAGTACAGAGAAAAAAATAAGATTAGAAAATTAGTAAGATATAGGTCACAAACACACACACACACAAAAACACCATACATGGGAGCCCCAGAAACCCTGTCTCTACTAAAAATACAAAATTAGCTGGGCGTGGTGGCAAATGCCTGTAATCCCAGCAAACCAGGAGGCTGATGAGAAAGGAGAATTGCTTAAACCCAGGAGGTGGAGGTTGCAGTGAGCCGAGACTGGGCCACTGTACTCCAGCCTGGGCGACAAGAGCCAATCTCCAACTCAAAAAGAAAAAAAACTTACCCTGTAAACGTTAACCTAAAAAAGTTATGGTTGTACCAACATTCATCAAAGTAGATTTTTTTTAACGTTTTAATTTTTGTTTAAAGATTGGGGGCTCTCACTCTGTTGCCCAGGCTGATCTAAAATTCCTAGGCTCAAGTGATCCTCCCACCCCAGTCTCACAAAGTGCTAGGATTACAGGTGAGAGCCACCACACCCGGCCAATGTCAAAATAGATTTTAAGGCAAGAAGTTTAATTAAAAGTTAAAAGGAGTATTTCATAATAATAAAAAGCTAATTAAATCAGGAAGCTACAGTACTCCTAAATTTGTTTGTACCCAATATATACAGAAACATAGAATAAGAGGGGAAAAATTCATCTACAATCACAGTGGGAGATTTTAACACATCTATTTCGGTAACTAATAAAACAAGTAGACAAGTAAATCAGTAAAGATATAAGTTTTTTTT